GGAGGGGGTGGGGGGGAAAGCAAGAGGGGTGGGGGTCGGGACTTTGACATTTTCTACTGTCTACTTTGTATACTAACACTCTGCAAAAATTCAGCTTTCCCCTAATTAGTTGCGACACAAAACCTTCATTGACTGGGCTACAGGAAGAAAGGTGGAGGCTGTGCTGACGCAGCCACAAATGATTGGCTGGTCAAGCAAGTTCAGGAGCTGAGTCCTTTCAGGGAAATCTCGCTACGGCTTGCCCCAGCCAGAGTCCTTATGAAAGCTGTGAAGGTATATTTAGGTGCCCAGCCCTACAAGGTCTGCGTATGAGATCCCTTGGCCTATTGATGGGAGATCAAAGGGAAGAACAGGTCACCATAGTCAAGAGGCTCTCACGGTTCACCAAGGACCTGGGATTTGACGGAGAATGAGGACCTGTGAACGAGGGTGCACAATAAGCTGTTCTAGCTGCGATGCAATCCCATGGTAACTTGTAAGCCTGGCCCTCTATAAAAAAAAAAAAATAAAATAAAATAAAAATGGACTTTTAATCATATCACCTGTTAAACTATATTTAACTAAATATATAGTTAGCTGTATATTTAACTAAGCTGTGCCTGTTTTTTTTTTTTTTTTTTTTTTTTTTTTTTTTGGTAATTGTTCAGCATTTTGCACAGACTACAGAAATATTACAGTATTATAATGTCTGTGCTTTAAGCTTCAGTTATCCTCCCAAAAACACGTTTCAGTAACATTAAATGATAAACGGTCAGATAATATGGGTTTTAAGCATTTGTATATTCTAACCGTAATTTCTGAACTATTTCTACCTGGATATATTGGGCTGTTGGACGTTTGATGGTTTATATACATTGACTATGGTAGTCTCAGATACTTTTATAGTAAGAATAAACGTTTTAGTTTCAAATTTTGTGGATGACTGAAACCTTGTCAATGTGCTCGCAAATTGGCAGTCCACATGACATGGGCCCCTAAGCCCAGGGGGCAATTAATGCCCTTACAAGTTTATCTATAATTTCACCTCTTGCACTACCCCCCTAGTTTTAAATGTGTGATTCTCATGGTACAAAAATGCCAGCTTGATTCTGGAGTTATACTTTATCACAACACACATACTAATACCCCCAAATGTTAAAATAACAGATTTTTACTAAGAAATCAATGTTTCTGGTTGGTCTTTTTCTTCGACAGTGGCATTTTTTACTAGAAGCATTGACTATTGGATACTGAAGTAGACATCCCATCTGAATGGACCAGCTGTCGCCAATTCTTTATTTAAAAAAACACAGTTGTGTGAGCCAGTCACAGAATGTGCTAGTGTCTAAAATTCTATTTTCGAAGTTATATTTTCTTGCTTATATATTTTATGGGTCATAACAGTTGTTTGTAGCTTACAATAAGTGGTTCCACCCGTTTGACTTGGTAAAACTCCTTGTATTCAACAGAAATTACTAATTTAGATCATCTAACTGTCGGTGGTTCACATCAACTACCACAATTTTAATTAAAAAACTGGCGAGAACTTTAACATTGGGATTGAATGTCTAGTTGAATCAATAGTCAAAGCTAGAAATCAATGTGAGTTCAAACGCTTTTAAGGGATAGCGGTCCAAACCCATATTTAAGTTTTGTGGATGTGCCGGGAATTGAACCCGTCTCTCCCAGACCAAAGTCCGAGACGCTAACCATTAGGCTAGCAAAACACACAATATGCGTTGGTTTTGTGTGGAAGCTTATGTAAGTGGAACGCACGACAACTTTTGTGCCTGGACTGTCACACATTTGTTTCAAGAACTATTGCATATTGTTTCATACCGAAAAATACCTAGGTTAAATGGTATTTTAGTTTATCAAAAACATGTATCTTTCAGTAATGTGAGTGTTATAATTAGTACAAACAATATATTAATTTTTTATAGCCTATAAGTAAACTCTGTGTACCCAGTAACATTTCAAATCATTGAGACGAATTGAAAGGTTTGTAATATTAATTGACTAAGATAATGTTAGTTTTTTTTGTAATATTAATATTCTAAATCTTAAGTAATCATATTTTTCCAAACACCATGCAGTAGAGTCCCTCTATTCCATCACCTGTAATTTCAAAAATCTGCAATACTTTGTTAATTATAAAAAATCGTGGCTAATTATGTCACCTCGAACTAGTGATATCATCACAAAAGGCAAAAAAGCTTACAATATCGCCAAGAACCTCAAAGGAGCTACCAATATCACATAGAACTTTGTCAAATCTGGCAATTTCACTAAAGTTAGTGGTATTGATGTACTGTTGGCAATGTTAGCAATAACGCCGTCTGAGCAGGGACGTATTAAGTTATCTGCCGCCTCTAGGCAACAAAGTTTTCTGCCCCCCCCCCCCCCCCCCCCTCCACAACGTGTCAGCGTACTCCCCGACCTCACTAATATCATCCCAATGGCCAATACATGCACTGTCAGCTGATTTTGTAGAAAAATAATCTGCAATATTGTATGCTGCATCAACAAATTTAATAACTTTTTCGAGCCCTTTTAAGGGACTTTATTTCTTAGTTCGCAGTTTTTATGCAAAACTTGATTCTAACTTGGATACACGGAATGCAATGTTTTTTTATCCAATCAGTAATTATAATCACGTTTTGCGGCGTGAAATGGCACACAAAATCGTCTGTATACAAGGGTTCTTATAACGCTTTTCATTGAACACTTTTAGTCAGATCCACAATGAGACTCTTGAGGGATGTGCTTATTGGCTTTGAAATGAAACAAATATGTTTACTACCTATCACTATGGCACACCTACAAACAAGTATTATTTTTTACTATTAAGGTTAGATAATTTCTGCGTGAGGTTTACACAAAAGATAATCCTCTTGTCCATTATTAACCTCAAAAAGTGAACATCCGACTTTCTTAAGAGTCTTCATCAGTGGTAGCCATATTGGATTTTAGTCCATATTGGATAAGAGCGATGTTAACTTTGTAACAGAATTTCCAAAAAGCGTGTTGTGATGAAATAATGATTGAGGTGTTAAAATTAAGGTTTAGTGGTCTTCTAGGGAGTGAAGATTTTAGTTTTGCCATTTTCCCTCCACTTAATAAGTTGGTGGTTTGGATAATGAGTTATTAAGCCTTTAATTGAATAATTTATTATAAATTGGGGTAAAATACCTGCATTTATGCGATCTTGTTTGTTAATAATTTATTAAGAAAAGACAAAAACAAATATTTGGAATATCATCCCCTTATTCCCTAGTACTCTATGTTATAACTCTATAGACCTAATTATAAATTTTCAAAACTATATCTTTAAAAATAACACCAGCATACTGCTTCAAATGATGGTATGTTCTGTCAATTTTTACATTGCTCTTTATGAGACTAAAATCCAATATGGCTACCACTGATGAAGGCTCTTAATAAAGATTGTCATTCGTCTTTCTTCTTCACTTGAATATTGAAGTTGAACGCTCTCATCTCTCCAGAGTCAGCAGACAGCCAGACACAGAGGAGCATGGCAAGCGGCAGATGGTAATATTGCTACTAACTTGTCTGTCACCCTCACTCAGTGAAAAAATGAGGATCAGTCTCTGGTCAAGTCTTCCTACCTTTCAGCTAGCGCTGCCGCGTAGTGGCGTATGAAGTAAACAGGGGGAAGTGTTTTCTTTGTTCGCCAGTTTGCAGCGGCCGGCAACCCGCTCCCGCGGCGCGCGTGTCGTGTCCATCAGACAAATAGGACAGCACGGAAAACTCAGCACAGCTGTGTAATAAACTATTGACTTTTGTTTGACTTTAATGCGTTCTGAAATAATTTTATACTTAATCAAAATATTTCAAATGGCTGTTTTGCCGGTCCCAAAATTATTTGTTTAACATTTTTTTTTAGACTAAAACCTTTTTATTTTATAACCCTTAAAATTTTGTTGCCCCTAATATTTGCCGCCCTAGGCGGGTGCCTAGTCCGCCTATTCGGAAATATGTCCCTGCGTCTGAGGATGATTTCACGATCATCAACAAGACTATCGATGTCGCCACAAATCTTGGCTATGATAGTGATGTAAGCTGAAGTTTCAAAGAATCAAGTTATGATGTCGCGAATATGGACAAAGCTAGAGATATCTCCAAGAACTGTGATACCTCAAATGTCGGAAAAATTTTCAAAGTTTCCCTGAACGGTGGAGAATCAATGGGTCAATGAAACCACAAACATTGGCAAAGGTAATAATACAACTACTGATAAAGTAAGGTAAGCTCCGTGAACAATAGAGAAGTTTTCAATACTCTAAAATGTTGGTGCAGCATTAGCATCATCTCTCGGGATCACAGCCATAATACAAACATCTTTTGCGATTGCAGCTGCATAAACATCAACCACAATTGTCATCAATACATTGATATTATTTAAGAAATCCCATTATTTCCAATTACCGCTAATTCAAACAGAGTTTGGTCCCAGTTAGTTCAGAATGGCGGGACTCTACTGTGCTATGGTAAATAGAAGTAATCTCCGTTTATGAGCATTAACATTTGATAAGCAATGTGAGTAATATAAGGTTAAGTTACAAGATATACCTAAACCATTTCCAATCAAAATACTATTTTCAGGTTGTATTGTTAGCTCTTGTTGCCAGCAGTATTGGGTCCAACATTGTTCTTGACGCTTAGTTGGTTAATGTCACAACCCAAAAAAATATCAGTTTTCTACACAAAATGTTTGAATTGATGAACTTGAAAATTATTCTGAGCTGCTGGGCAGAAGCTGCCAAACTGACACACAGAGAAAGCCGGCCAGCGACTGTGAAAGAAAGCGGAGAGACAACTCATGTTGATACGATTCTGCGCTTAACGACAAGATCTGAACAACTGGACAACCAAGCGCAGCAACTTTTACATTTACAACTTTTCAGGAATTATACGTGCAATATTTCTTTTCCTGTGAAACTGGTGGGTAAAATACGTTCAGCATATGGATCAGTAGGTCTCATAGATAAACACAAATATTTCAGTTTCTAAATCTTTGTTATTCCAACAAAACAACAATACCTAATATTAACAAAAACTTAACAATCAAAAGCAAAGAAGTCCATGTAAAGTCATCCTCAAGGAACAGTATTGTCACAGAAAGGATGGTAATGTCTATAATATGTAAATATTACAATACAATACAAATATATTTTGATAAACACCCTTACAAAAATACATTCAGGCTGTACAATTATCCTTAACACACTAACAAATTGAAACCATAGATTTGATTTCAAACATAAAATAACACTGACAACAATAAGAGAGAAGAATAAAAATGGTAAAGAAACGGCAAATATTTTTACTAGTGATGTACCAGGTAAGAAATATTGTAAAATAATGTATACCGGTACCTGTCTTAAACCCCTTTTGAATGAAATGGTGAGCCCTCATAATAAATTTCTTATGGAACATGAAATTTGCTTGGGAAGAATATTTTAATGTCAATGTTACTGGTTAAGGACCATGATAGTAAGTTTATGATGACATGACAACCCTCACTAAGTGATACAATAATTTAATTTAAACTTCTCATTACATTTTAGTTTCTACCTTTGTAACAACAAAGTACAATATCAGTTGCTGGGTACTATATTCTTATATAGTTGTCGATTTAATGGTAATTGCCAGAAACAGAAAATAAAAATGATTATGAAATTAGAAATCTGAGTTTTACTATAGGCTAACATTGACAATCTTATAACAAAATATGGCAGAGAATTCTTGACAAGCCGTAAGAAAACTTTTGAGTACCTGTCCACAGGATCGTAGAAAAACTTCCAAAGAATCCCAAGGATAATGAGAGCTGGGGGGTTAAAAGCCCTTAAAGCTTTAGGGAGGAATGTGATTAGTTAGTGTCAAAAATATTTATTTTTAAGATTTGAATTAGGTAAAGAGATAGAGAAATGTTTCACAATTCTATTATTAAGAGATTTAAAGCAGTCAATATTTTGAAGAGTTGAAAAAATATAGGAAAGGAAAACTGGATAGTATTAATTTAAATACAGCAACAATAATAAATACCCTATAGCAAAAAAACGCAAACAAAAACAGAGAATATAAAGAAAACAGCTCACTCATCTATCAGAATAATTTACACATTAAATACATAACAATACATTATTGTGCTTCAGAGATACATCTAGCCTGGCTTAAAGAGTTAGGCCTTAAAAGTACCTAAGGAGTAATTATTTCAAAACGAAACAAATTAGACTTTACATACAATAACAATACTGAATAAAGATATACAACCGTAATCGACAAATGATAAAACTACAAATCGACATTAAAACTTTGATTCAACAACAATACGATAAACACATCTGATTAAAACTTAACCTCGCCTTCTAGAACTAAAACGTTTGTGTTCCTTGGGCATGACCTATGAACTGACTGTACAAGGTTAGCTATACACGGGAACGTGCCATTGTGCATGATGCTCGGGCACCCCAGCACAACAATAGTATAAGTTTAAAAAAATATGTGAATAACAATATGAAGATGAAACAGTTGGTCAGCAGAAGCAAAGCCGAGTGTGTGTTCGCTGCTGTAAGTTATAAGCCGAGCGCAAAAGCCACAACATACGCTACATTGTATACCCCACACTCATTCTACTCATTTACTCCACATTTTGTACGATCTATTATCTAAAAAAATATACATATTAGTTATTAAACATTGTTTAAACATTTTGTTCAAATTCGACCATTAGATAGTTTGAGCCAAGGATTTGATACATATTTTATTATCGAATAACTTTGATGTAGACTTCTAAAAGTGCTGATATCTTGTGTGACGAAAATCAAAATGTTTTTAATATATCAGAAATTGCAGAAACAAATTTGACACAAGGAAAATGATTTTAACTACTGCTTGCATAGTAGCACTAGTTTTTAAAATAGTTTATGAATAATCAAATTTTGCAATGTTGAAATATTAACAGAACAAGCTTAGTCATTATTACTGTTCAGCAACACACTAACTAAATAGTTTTAATTAGTGATTCAAGTATTGTTGACTTTAATCTTTTCGGATGTGCGTGTTTATTTTATATCAGGTTTACAGATATAGATCAACAATAACAGGTGATTCACACTCATTTTATTATTTAGTAATGTTAAAACAAAATTTGCAAGAAATTTTCCGTGCCTATCTACATTAAGTATTTCTTATGTAAATAAATGTGACCATAATATCTTTTGTTTGTTAGTCTTATATGGCCTATGAAAAGTGAATTTACAATTTTCATACTATATTATAAGCTAAAGTTAATGAATAGTTATATACCATTTTTACTGTATGAGATATTTTATAATTAAGTGGCATGCAAAAAGTTTCATATTATCATATCATTATTTGGGAGTGTGGGATTATTGCTGACTTGCCACTTGTTAAGAACACTTGAATAGAGATAGACATTTAAAAAATACTTTTGCCATAGCAAGCCCTATAACATACGGTAGGGAATTTATCGGTACAGATAAAGTATCAAATCCAAATAACTAAAATACTAAGTAAAAATATGTATATGTAAATATAATTATATACAAGTATATACATCAATACTTGCTTGTTATTTATTTACAGAAAATATACACCAGTGAGGTTGATATGATAACAACGCGAATTACAAAAGAAATTATTGAAGTATCGTTTTATAACAAACTTACACGAAAGAAGACAGACCGGTATCTAGTCTAGAAAATTTCACGATAAAAAAGAACAGCGAACACACATCTCACAAAAATGATATGGGAGCAAGTATCGGTGCCTATATGAACACTGGGCGTAGGATACGACCAAGCTCCGGTGACAGGTTATAGGAGAGCTTGCGCTGAAACATGATCAAAGGCACAGAGTGAGCGAGAGGTAACTCAACACTAGAATAGCACATAAACAGAATTGGATGGACAGAGGGAAACAAAACATGCGTAACTCAACATAAAAAAGAACATAAACAGAATAGGATGGACTGAGGTAAAAATATTTAACAGAACACCAGAATAGCACATAAACAGGAGGGTGAGGTTCATAAGGTCCAAATTTCACAAAGTCCAATGGTTAAAATATTGATAAACAGAGCGTTTCACAAGGTCCAAACTTCACAAGGTCCAACGTTTAAAATATTAATAACAGAACGTTTCACAAGGTCCAAATTTCACAAAGTCCAACGTCAAAATATCAAATAAACAGAGCGTTTCACACGGTCCAACGGTACAGTCTCGGCCAGAAGTCGCTGCAGAGGTTGACGTTGTTCGGTGTTTAGGCACTACACGATCTAGTGTTGTTGCCACGCGTCACAAAACATCATTGTGGGTCCGTAGATACGTTGTAAAGAGTGTAAAATAGTGGTATTCACCCCATCCGCAGCAAACCTGCAGACTCATCGAATTTCCATTTCCCTTATTTGATTTACACTAGAATATCTCCTTAAAATGATCACATTTATTCCCGATTTAAATAGCATTAGTTTAACAGGTACCGTACTTAGGTTTGCTGCAACAGGGAGTAATCAGTAATCAGTAGTTGAGCGCCGGCGGACGGTGCCTGCTATCTGACCGTGGCAACCACTGTAGAGACTTCTGGCCCAGACTGTACCGTTGGACCTTGTGAAATTTGGACCTTGTGAAACGCTCTGTTTATTTGATATGTTAACGTTGGACTTTGTGAAATTTGGACATTATGAAACGGTGATTATTTGAATGTTATAGTTTTGGACTTTATGAAATTTGGATCTTGTGAAATGCTCTGTTTATTTGATTTTTAACATTGGACCTTGTGAAATTTGGACATTGTGAAACGGTGATTATTTGAATGTTATAGTTTTGGACTTTATGAAATTTGGACCTTGTGAAACGCTCTGTTTATTTAATATTTTAACCGTTGGACTTAGTGAAATTTGGGCTTTATGAAACGCTCCCAAACAGGATTGGATGGACAGAGGGAAAAACATGTGTAACTCAACATAAAAATAGCACACAAACAGAATTGGATGGACAAAGGTAAATATGTGTAACTCAACACAAAAATAGCACAATAACAGAATTGGATGGACAGAGGAAAAACTCAACATAAAAATAGCACATAAACAGAATAGGATGGATAGAGGTAAACATGTGTAACTCAACACAAAAATAGCACAATAACATGGAACAGAGAATTGGATTGGAATAGAATTGGATGGACAGAGGAAAAACTCAACATAAAAATAGCACATAAACAGAATAGGATGGATAGAGGTAAACATGTGTAACTCAACACAAAAATAGCACATAAACAGAATAGGATGGACTGAGCTTAACATGTGTAACTCAACACCAGAATAGAATAAACAGAATAGGATGGCCTGAGGTAAAGAATTGGATGGAAAGCTGTGGGTTATATCTTTGAGTCAAGGTAAGTTCTTCCACTCTTATTTAGTTTAGGAGTGCACACTCAGTGGTGTAGTGAAGCAGGAATGCATGGAAACGGAGTTCCCACTCTGGTATTTCCAAAGAACTTATATACAGTATCAATATTTTGATAGGCAACCCATATTTTTTCTACAATAAGGTGTTCCCACAATGTAAGTGTTCCCGCATTGAAAAATTTACAACTACACCACTGTGTGCACACTAAGCTGTTGTGGCAAGTACCAGGTGTTTGTGAAGTTAGGGTCCTTAAAAACATTCTTTAACTGTTCAGAGCAGGCCCTATTCTGTGTTTAAATAGACGTAAAGCTCAAAAAGAATTCTGAACTACAGGGTCAAGAGTGTAGAGAGGGATTTTTCATATGGAACTTGTCACAGTAGTAGTTTCACAATATAACATTGAATTAGCGCTAGTACTGTCCACTGTATCTAACATTTTGGGAAGAAATCATGCTATGCAACTAAGCACTCAGAGTACACAGAAACATGCTAACCAGCTAGTTGGAAGAATAAATGGGGAAGCTCTTAATTCCACGAGAGATTTGAACAAAATTCCTCGATATTAATATCCTCATCAAGAAGAAAACCTTGTTACAAACATGCTCTTATATTTCCTATAAACAAAGCTAGAGAACTTATTTCACAGCCTTTAATCTTGAAAAATCAATAACTGTAGATAAGAAAACCCTTTCAATAATTTCCTGAGCTTCTCGATAAATAATGTAGGCCTATTACAGTCACTAAAGCATTTCAGGGAGTGAGCTAAACAGTAGGGAAACATACATCCATAGGAATTTAATAACTGAAAGCTAGGGTGAAATTAGTACAGGTGTAAGTTTGTTGACCTATAGTCTAACATGACTGAGTTTTATGATAAACTCTTACCCAAAAAGTTGATCCCAATGGATATATGAAAATTCTAGCCAATCATACTCCTTTGACGCATGGCTGCAAAATAAACGATTTCATAAACTAATCATCATTAAAACTACCACTAGATATTGTGGTCAATAGTTCAGTGGATGTAATCGTTTTCAACCCCTGTCATAACAAACCTGCATACTAAACTATTTTGGTCATTGATCAAAGCTTCGAAGAGGTTCATAATAAAAGGAGATTTACAGTCAATGGATAATGTTGACAAATATGTTGTAATTATATGAATAATAACATTTTGTGCATACATTTAAAAAAAATCAAATAGAAGTGGTTCAATAAATACTTATATTTTTTTAGTAAAAGAAAAGAAATTAAAAAATTAAAAAGCAATTTCAAAAATCTTTAAATAGAGCAAAGAAAAGTGCCAAATTCTTTAAAGGTATGTAAAAAAGCAATTTATAGCAACTGTACTGCATTTAGCACTAAGCATTTATTCAATTAGGTAACAAGGTAATCAAAAGGCATAAAATAAGTCAAAACATACTACAACTGACTTTCTATGACAGCTGGTTTGAATTCTATATTTTTTAAATCGTCAAAACCAAAGACAAATAAGTTATGAGAATAGAAGACAATGTATAAATAAACACATAGAATATTCGGAGCTACAAGCTCCGTCTTCAGTAGTGGAGTCTTTCTAAGTACTTCATAAGACTCTACTACTGAATAATTTGATGAATTATGTGTTTATTTGTGCATTTTCATCTATTTTTTTTCAGAAGGGTAATCTTGCTGCTAAACCTATCCAATATAAAATCCTTTATGTTTAATATATTGATTGAAAAACAAAACATCTTAAATGTGCACTAATGAAATCATTTAACTATTTTAGATATCACACATTACGCTACTAACCAAAGCGTTTTATGCTTAAGCAATCACTCACAAAACTGTATAAAATAATTTACCATAGCTAATAGGCAATTATTATATGCGTAAATGATTAGCAAATAGCAGGGTTACCTTTTTGTGGAAGTGTTCGCACAGAGTCGGTTATCGGGGAGCTGCCCAAGTCCTCTAGGAGTTTCCTCGATCGAGTCGGCATATCGGGGAGCAGAGGCATAGCGTGAGGGGTGCTAAAGTCAGTGAGAGGAGAAAAGTCTGTCAAGCGTTCATACACGCCACTAGTATAGTCATCAGTTCGGAATGTTGAGGCGATACGATCCATGGATCTGTCCTCAGGAGTACGTCTGGTGATTCTACCGCGAGAGTCGTAAAGTTCGTCCCCTCTACCCCTTCCGGGCAGCAATAAGTCGTCAATAGATTTAAGAACACTAGATATCGCGTAGCCCCCACCGGAGTGGGTGCCTGGGGTAAAACCTAGTTCGGCACTTTCGCGGAGTCTCGCAAGCCTCAAGAGTTCTTCGTGTAGCCGAGCGTTTTCTTCAATCTGTTGACGACGTCTGGCTATCTCCGCTTTGATCTTAGCCTTCTTCTCTTCACGGGTGAGTTGATCATCGTCCTCATCGCTGCCGTAGGGTGAGGGTTGCCAAGAGCGAGGTTTGTTGCGTAGAGTTTTGTTTACATCTCGTCTGCGCATGTCCAAGCCATCGCTGTAGCGCCGAACATCATACCTGGGAACAAGTAGTAATCATCTGATTACAATAAACTTATGTGATTAAATCATTGCTAGAAGTTTATTAGACGATTGGAGGTAAATGGTTGTATTCTAGGACATTACAAAGTTGATGTTGAATTAAGATAAGTTAGAACAAAAGTTACAGCTGAAATTATTTAGACAAAATTGTCAACACAATTCGACGTGGACTGGGTACAAATATTAACTCTTATATTATTGTTTTTCAACCCTCAAATGAAGTGGAGTGGATAATAAAAATTGTTTGTTCTAAGCAAGACATTTTTTTTTTAGTGTCAATACTAGTAGTACTACTAAAGTCCTCCGAAATGTTTATGGAAAACCCTAAAATGTATATGGATATTCCAGGGATTGTACCCGTCTCTCATGCACTGAAGTTTGGGATGCTAACCACAACGCTATAGACCCCACTTCATGATACATCTTTGTATCTGCTGCAACCAAACCAAACATGGATTTTTAGAAAAAAGATATATACAATCTTTCATTAATTTAATATCTTCAGTAACCATATCCTAAAAATGGGAAATAGGAAACCCAACTCTCCATTGCAGCACAATCCATATGCTCAAATTAAATCTTAATTATTATGAAGATATTGTGAGCACTTGCCTCACCTATTATGGTCGGTGAAGTGTCCGTTGTCGAGTACGCTGTTGATTGCAGTCTCCCGCAGCGCCCCACCAGCAACAGCATACGACGAAGCAAGATAAGATTGCGAAGGGTCCCAGTCTGCCCGCTTACCATCATCTATTGACTCATACTCGTACGATTTATAGGGGGGCCTCAGAGAAGGATGAGTGAATCCTAGATACCCCTGAAATTCAAGAATACATGATATCACTTGTTGACAATGAATAGATTAATAATACAAATGCTAAAATAACTATAGTAACTATAATAATAATTATGAAACTCTGTATGTATGGTTATATTAGATTAGATTTGTGTGATGGCAAAACACCAGAGTGCATATATTAAAGCGAACATGAGAGAAAAACGAGTGTTGAATAGATGTATTGACACCTTTGTTATTAACTAGGACCAGCTGACTCTTCAGTCAGGGCCATTCATTAAAAGCCCAAATGATCAAGGATAGCTAGGTCTAGATGTTCAAAACCTCAAAACGCATCTGACTTTTCTCAGTAGTACCAGGAGACCGAGCTTTACTCGGATTGAATCAAACATTAAATATATAAGTAGTTAGATAAATTAAAGATATTCATAATGTACAGTAATCAATTTGAACACATTTTAGATGATACAAAGAACAAATTTTAATACACCTTTATAAATACATAGATTGCAATAAAAATAAACTGTATCAGCTGTTTTGATTAACTGCAGCTACAAAAACGTATTGACGATAACATGGGCACTTTAAAGGGCTGTAAGGCGGAAACTGGATTTTTCCCAGTGTTGTGACCAAGTCTAATCGATTTCTCGTGGCGAAATACCCCATGATAAACAAACAAATAAAAAATCCTGGGACGAAAATTTAAGTTTGTCCGTACAAGCGCTTGTTTTAGAGTATAGGATAGAAACGGCTATGATTTGATTGTTTGGTACTATATTCACTCAACTACCTAAAATACAAGTTGTAACATATCAGTTTAGAAAAGCAATGGGAAAAATGTTTTAGCAGTTATAACATAAAACTTACACTGTATTTCATGTTGTCATTCTAAAAATAGAATACACTGGATGTTAGTACAAAAATATCATCAGAAAAAATGCTCTATATAATCAATGCGCTTGTTTATTTATTGTAAATGCAGCTCTTAAGTCCATAAACCCATTGTATGCCAGCCTGGGAAAGACAGTAGATTAAGGGCTTAAGGTCCTTTTTGATTGTCAGTTATACTATTAAGCTCAAGGAGAATTCTTCAGTCTGTAGCAGAGTTTGTGAAAGAGGCCAATATATACTAAGCATACAATATCAGTTACCAACCTTATGTAGGCTAAATGAAACTATTTTCCATTTTAAAGCCAGTGTTTCTTAAAGTCTTAAACAAAAGCTAAAACATTATGCTGAAAATCATTAATGTTTTTAGGGCAAATGAAATTAAAGTTTTTTAATTCAAGGTAGCACTAGTTCAGGGATTGTGGAGAAACGCTAAACCGAATTCATCTTGTAACGTGTTGTTATACCAGAAACTTATAGCACTGGCTTATTAAGACTTTAGGGTCCTAACTAGTTCTAAGAAATTTTAAAGTAGGCTATTGATCTTTTATATGGTAGTTTTTACTTACTCTTCCATATTCGTTTTCTAAACTGCCGTCCTCTTTCCCAGGATGAATATCTAAATGAATTTTAGGATCAGATAACTGCCTTCTATGAGTTCGAATTTTTCGTGATCGTCCTAAACCGGAATAGACCATCTTCCTCTGCAATTCTAGCCTGAAAGAAGATTTACATATGATATTCAAGGCAATCAAAGCTTACATTACTTAGTAGGTATGAAATGAAATAATAATTTTATTCACTATTTACAATGACATGAATTTACATGGTAGTTTTCTTCATCTTAAATTTAAATAATAAAAAAACTTCTTAATATCTATGGAACAAAAGCATATATACGAGAGATATTCAGAAAAAGAGAAACGTTTCTGCTTGATGCCGTTGATTACCAATTGTGCACTTTCAAGTTTAGACTTGTTCGTCTCCTGAGTGATTGTCTAGCTGTCACAATGGAAGTGGCGTTACGCTGCCCATTGTTAAATATTCAAGTTGAAAAAATGTTCTGCAACTAAAAATCCCGCTAGTTGCGTTCTGTGACACAGTTTTTATTAGTCAAAAATTAAAAACCCATAGCAATTTATCATCAAGAGTGTGAAGTGTACAGAAAAAACCTGAATATGCTGAATGCACAATTTCTGAACAGAACTTCCATAAGCCTAATGTCATTAGACGGAAACGTTCCTTACTTTCTGAATATCCCTCATTTTCACCAAACTTGTTTAAAAAAGTACCAAAAAAGACATTGCGAAGAAATAGTCTATACAGGCAAAGCCCTGTGTGTAGACATAAGTTGAGGATAAATTTACATGGGAATGACTAAACAAATAATGACTATTACTTGAAACTGTTAAACTATTTAAAATAAAAAGGGTGAACTAATTTTATATTGGAAATATTATGTGCCTATTATTGTAGATGTAAAAGATTGAAGGGGAAGTGGTGGTGCTATGAGTCAGCCAATGAAGGAAGTGTAGTAATAGAGAAGTGAAGTGTTAACTGTCAGGCAGGCTCAGAGAGATAACAGCTTCAGCATCCTCTGAACTCAGTTCAACAAGCCACTCTAAGACGCTTCTTAAAAACAGAGAGAGAAGATGAATTGAACAGGTTATTATTTTGGTATTTCTTGTACATTTTAGGTTATACAATTTTAATACATGTAAGCTGCTTGTTTGGGAAAATGAACTTCCAGTTTGAGGGACCATTCACTGAAAGTTAAAAAAAAAATCATTTATTTAGAATTGGTTATTTTAACGAACACATTTTCAATGGTTTTGTTGGTTTGTGGATGAGTAGTCAATTTGATCTCATTAAAAATGTCTGAACAATTCCAATCCTACGATGAAATTACTATTACATTATAAATGATATTTTCTGATTACATACAAGCCCCCATGTTTATATTTTTTTTCAAGTTAGCTAAACCCTATCCTTTAAAAAAGACAATTATTTTATTACACACTTGGATTTTACTAAAAATATTTAAGTTGCAAATTGTTTCTTGGGGCAATAAGCAAGTTCAAATTACAGTAGAATTCTCATCTATCCGAATTGGTTTCAGAAATAATTTTAAAACCTAGAACTACAGTAATAAGAATCGTTATAAAAAGAAGCATAATCTGAGATCAAGGCTAAAACTTGAACAACTCCCGCGGTCGTGTAGATATTACCATCGTCTCCCGTCAGTCACAGAAACATCATCATTGTCTTCCGTGGTTGAGGCAAAATCTTAAAAATCTCCTATGGTCTTATAGACACCATCATCATCTTCCATGATTGCGGCGAAACATTGAAAATCTTCTGCGGTCAAGTAGACATCATCATCATCTTCTGCGATTGTGACAAAATATTAACATCTTTTGGTGTCTTGTAGACACCATCAATGTCTCCCGTGGTCACGAAAATGTTATCATCATCCTCCGTAAGCGTGAATTTTTCAATCGCACAATCTTCACAGACACGTAAAGATAATAAAATATCCCGAATATCAGTAATAATCCAATCATCCCAATTATGGATAGTCCAAATGTGGTACGGTTGTGAAGATGCAAAAATTGATGGGGCAATATTTATAGGTTCATCCTAAATATGTAATTTTGCAACAAGAGGGTGCAACAAACACCGGGCATAGTGACGTCACTGAGAAGAGGATGACCGTAGTTCTCAGTACGGCACCAAGAGCAATACATGAGGATTACTGGAGAATTGCTCCTGTCAGTCAGTTGTCCATCAGTTGTAGGGTGAAATTACATTACCCCCTACGCAACCATATCTGATAGCCGATTATAAAAACAATTCACAGCACTTCACGAGTGCAGAGCATCACGATGATGAGCTATTTAATTGCCAGTTAGTTTAAGGTTGTTTTATTATTTTTTGTGGATTGCTATAGGTCAGTACTTGATTTGACCATTTCATTGGTGAATCTCTTTTGACTTTCGCTATCCCTTTATATCCCTCCCTCCAAAGGCAGTCCGACACAAATCAGTAAAGTAGTAAGTAGCATCAGCATTTATTTGCAAAAAAAAAATATTAAAAACTGAGAAAAAAAGATTAAGAAGGAGAGGTACTGGAACAATAATCGGATTAGCCTCAAATCGAGCCCTGACCATTTAGTTTAATTACGTTACACTACCAATACCTGTTCTTTTGGTTTCTCAGTACATCTTTAGTCCGATCTAGTAAAAGGCGGTCATCTCTGTCAAAGCTGTTAAGGAGTCTACGATCAGCTGCTGTCAACTTGACGTCATCTCCTAGGCTTCTTGACAGTGGAAGCTGGAAATTACAATCTGTTAGTAGTTGTTACATTGATATATTTCCTGTTGTTTCCAATACAACTGTCATCTGTACAAGTACTTACTTGATGTATGCTTGATGTCTGCTGGGTCAAACAGGGTACTCGAGCTGTGTTTCAATGCCAACGTTTCGGAGATGTCATTTCAAATCCAGCGGTGGAGGCATTACATCACTGGATCTGCGTGCTGATGATGGAGAACTGCAAAGTCTCCGAAACGTTCGCATCATAACACACCTCGATGACATAGTTTGACCCAGCAGACATCCAGCAAATACCTTGTGGGAAGGACTGGAAGTCAACTCTCTTCTTTGAAATAATCAATTTTATAAATGAGATGGTTTTATATACATATTGTTATAAAGTTAAAAAATGAGATTCAGCTTGCGTTGACCTGGGAACATGCGTTGTGAAGTCATGGGTTAAGAGTTCTTAACCTCTTAAAAGTTGATCTTAATTTTTTTGGCATCAAAACTATTTAACTTAAACTTTGTCTCTATCCTCATTTAAAACTGTTGTGCTTTAAAACTCAGAGGAATTTCATCTGTTGTAAAATTATAATGTGGCTCAAAAAGTTTTCAAGGATATGTCAAATTATAGTTTTTTTTATGGTATTAGGGTAAACCGTGACTAAAAAATGGAATTTGTCATTCTAACATCATTGGGGCTTAAATAGGAGAAAAATAAGTTTGAATTGATCAAGGTAGATTAAAAACTAGGTTTAGAAGAATACTCTTTGTACAGCAATAGTTAGGGATTGGTACAAGGAATTAATGAATACTGAAGTCCACAGTATGAAAAAGATTATTTGATCCATGAATGAGTGAGAAAGTATTAAAGTTCAACAGATATCTATAAATAAAATGATATATTTACCTGCATTAAGTAATTATTTGTTACTGTTGCCCACACAAGTTTTGGTTCTAAGATAGAACCCCTTACAAGGAGTTAAATCAATTGCTTAGTTTGAAAAATAAAATTCACTATCAGTAGAGTTTGATAACATGACCACATGAAAAACTAAATCAATACACAAAAACAAAAGAGAAACATACATACAATTATAACAATATGTATATATTTTGTTTGTTTATGTGTGATGCTTTTGTTTTTGTGTAAAGGAATTTAACTGACGACCTTCATATGAAGCAATTGATTTGTCTTCTTGTGAGTATTAACAAGAACTATAGTAGTTGTCATCACAGTAACAGAAGATTACTTATTGACATATTTAAACCATTTTATGTATAACACAGTAATCTGGGGGCTAAAATAAAATACATTAAACAAGTTAAGTGAACCCTATTAGAGATTAACAAGACAGCCAGAGAAGCTTAAAAGACAATTTGAATATGCATATGTACAGG